ATATATATAATAATATAATATATATATACTACTACTATATATATATATATAATATATATATATATATATATATATATATATATATATATATATATATATATATATATATATATATATTATCACAGACATGCCTGCAAATTCGAATTCGGGCGGGGACGCGATGAAGCTAAAATCCGTTTCATCCGTGCCCCTGTTTGCTGGACCTGCTAAAGACGATGGAACGAATAAGAAGAGACACCAGAGTCTTTTTCAGTCAAGGCATCCTAGTTGGCTGGCCTTGAATAACTATGTACGTGTTCTGTGTTCTGTGGCGTACATTTGCCTATTTCTGGATGCTTTGGAATTGTTCTATGGTATATATCAACATTCATACCTAGACGCTATTTAAACGTTCTGTTATATAGCAATAATTGTTTATATTCAATATATATATATATATATGTGTGTGTGTGTGTGTGTACTATAGGATATATATACTTGCACTTAAATAAATACTCTCAATGTTCTATACTTTAATGTGTTCATACTTAATTTTTGTGAGCGTTCTATGATCTATACGTACATAACAGTATGAAGTGTATTAGTTATACCTCAATGCTATGGAAGTATTATATGGCGTAAAGATATCTACACCTAAATACTATGTATATGTTCTATGGGGTATATATAAGTTTACATCTCAATACTGTACATATACATGAGTGTATGTGTGTGTGTGTGTGTGTGTGTGGTTTATCGGGTGGGTGGGTGTGATGTGTGTTTGTGTGCTTGTATGAAGATGTATTTGTGTATGCATATATATATGTATATATATCATAATCATGCATTTCGTTATGTCGATGATCTAGAATAGGCGTAAACGGACACTGAGATGCTGATTCATTTGCTGCGCATGCGAGGCTTTACCAGGTTTGCAGGCTGTAGAGTTGAATATCGTGGTGTACGCTCAGATAAAATCATCTGTATCCGTCTTATACCTCGCAGCCTGTACCGGAAGACGTTACGGCCAAGATCCACAAGAAATGGCTTACACGCGACAAGACGGGGGTGCTCGTGATGCGAGATGTTACGCCCGATGACAAACAACGCATGATAAAGGCGTTCAAGACGCTCTCCGCCGAGTCTATACGTAAACGGTTCTGCTGTGAGAAGGAGTCGCTATCGATAGTTGAGTTGGAGAACATGATAAACTGCGACTTCCATCACGATTATACTGTGGTTGTGGAAGCGGCATGTCCATGCGAGAAGAACAACATCCACTTCCCAAAGCACCCGGAAGGGGAAGAGTGTCAAGAAGATACCATTGTGGGAATTGGTCAGTACATCGGACTCGTACACAACGAATTTGAGGCGGAGATGGCCTTTTTGGTCACAGACCAATACCAGGTGATGATTTTTCAAGTCATGTAGTCACGTCGGTAAACAATACATATCCATGTAGAAAGCTAGACTGTGTTTCGGTGCGCGTGTGGTAGGGATTAGTGTGAGTGTACATGTAAGGTTTATCTAAATTATATTTGTACTTATCACACATAAACTCAATGGAGGATTTACATAGATATGTCAATCTACAATGCTCACATATATATCTCGCTCTCGACAACAGGCGCACTTTTGTGTGAGTGCGCATATCTCCGTGTATATGCACATTTTCTACACACTTTGTGCGTGAGATGGCTCGTATTCATGGTCCTCCCGAAACGATGCAACCTGGTCTATTCTGATATCTTGATTGTGATCCGTCGATGAAGTATTTGGCAATTAGCGCAAAGACTGTTCGATCTACACCCAGTTCACGAGAATGTAGCAATCTGAAACGCACGCTGAGCCCGATTTTAAAATGTTATCTGTCTTATAGGGTCAACGGATTGCTCGGAGAATGTTGGAACATCTATTACTACAGGCTCGAGATAACGGATTCATTACCATGCGTGTGGACACACAGTACGATAACTTGAAGATGCAACACCTCATCACACACAACTGCGACGATACAATCATCCGTCGCGACGGTCAAGTATGTGAGTTATATTTTTGCAATATTGGATTATTGCATCTCACTGTAGTTTCTCGTCTGAGCGCAGTGTATACAGGAACACACACATATATATGTGTGTGTGTGTTCGTATTCGTACATTCGTATGTATAAGTACGCATAACTTGTGCGCACACGTGGTAAAAATATTCTAGCATGTATTTGTATACACGACACGAATATATATGTATATATTCGTAATGATTGCTCGTTCCCGTCATGTCTGCTGTTGAAGTCTTCCCAGAGAACCAGGACTATATCTGACACTATATGATAGTTTGTTGTCGCTTCGCTGACCCTCCAACTCCAATGCGTTTGTGGCTTTCTCTGATCAACAAGTGTCTCGTTAGCCATTTTCAAGAGTTCGTTACTAACAAAAGTCACATCAATTATGTGGGTTGTTTTCCACATCAGGATGTCACTATCTGCGTCCCTGTGCCTGGGAACGAAGCCGAGCTCAAAGCATGTCCCAGTGCACAGAAGATGTCATCGTTTCTGGACCACAACGAGAACTTTACCACTCGGTCGTCTCGGCGACGCTCTTCGGTCGCAATCAATACAAAGTCGGCAACCTCAAGCTCATTTGGAAGCACGTTTGGTGCTAGTACTGATATAAAAGCCACCGTGCCATCGAGAGGGTCCAGGGTGGCCTTCTATGACCTGGCGGATGTGTCCACCAGTGGTGTGAGCACTATAGGGGAGGAGATGTTATCCGGGGGCGAAGAGGAGCACAGCTGTGGCAGCAACAATACCAACTGGAAGAAGTCTCCCACGGCCTTGCATCGTGAGGGTAGTCCGATGCGTCTGGATCCTCAGTGTGCGTTTTCTATGCACCACGTGCCACAATCACCCCAGTCGAGCCCACGCTCTCGGTCACCTTCCCCTGCAATCAATAGAAAATCCAGTTCCGCGTTGGAATCAGACGATGAGGAATCCTCTATGTTCGGATACTAATAGAGTTGGTATCCGGGGTCGAACGGAAACACGGCAGTAGTAGCAACAATAACAAACACAGCAAGAAGTCGCCCATAACTCTGCAGCGGCAGAGTAGTCCGATGCTTCTGAATCCTCTGAGTGCGTGTTCTGTGCACCAGTGCCACATAGTGCCTCAGACCTACACCCTTCACCCACATCACCTAGTCGAGCCCACGCTCACGGTCGACGACCAAATGCACACCTTCGCCGTCATCTTCCCTTACACGCCCATATTCACCTGTAAGGAAGGATTGCGGCGGCAGTGGTGGTGGTGGTCGTAGGTCACCCTGTTGATAAGCAAGGCCCCTGCGGCTGCTTCATCAGCAAACGATAGAAAATCTAGCTTCGAATTGAACTAGTCGAGGAAGATGTCCTATGTTTTTACACTAATAATAAAACACTCATTTGAAATTGCGAGGTTTATAAGTCACAGCTTGATGTGTTTTACGAGTGGGTTATATTGTGTCTGGTGTACATATATTTGCGTAGAGGTAAATAGCGATAGAGTTGAGCTATATTGCGAGCGGGAGGATACCTTTATATCTTGCATGGGGACAAATTTTGAAAGGTTAGGTAAGATTTAATTTTTTATACTGTGAGGCCGAGGGCATGCTGTCGTACGTTGCATCAGGCTATATATGTGCCTTCCTAAATTGTACGTTATATAGGATATATATATATATATATATATCTATATATATATCTATATATATC